GGGTTCGGTTCCAGACCACCGCAATAAAGCGAATATCGCAATAAAGCGAGTCACATGAATTTTTTGGTTTCCCAGTGCATATAAAAGTTATGTTTACACTATACTGTAGTCTATTAAGTGTGCAATAGCATTATGTCTAAAAAAAAAATGTACATACCTTAATTAAAAAATACTTTATTGCTAAAAAATGCTAACCATCATCTGAGCCTTCAGCAAGTTGTAATCTTTTTGCTGGTGCAGGGTCTTGCCTCAATTTGTAAAAAAAGCAGTATCTGCGAAGCGCAATAAAACGAGGTATGCCTGTATGTACTATTTACAGAGGCGTAAAAGAATGAACTATAACAGACTAATTTACTGTTGTTTCTTTTGCCCAGATTACTGTAGAACTAGGTAAAACTACATTGTTTAGTAGAATAGAAGTATAGCTTTACATATATAGGAGTATATTAATTCATAAGTAGTATTTACTTCAAAGTTTAATATGGAGGACAGAAAGAACTTCACTGTATTTTCTGATATTACTTTAACTTATCCTCTAATATACTCAACACTCAGATACTTCTACATTGTCACTATAATACACTGCCTTAGTATTTATACAATTATGGGAAAAACTGCATCCTTCAGAGCTTGCCTAAGATGGTCAATGAAATCAGTGGGATCTGTGCACATATATCCAAGTGACTTTCACTTTGTATTTAGAATAATTCTCCTCTTAAAGTTAGAAAACTTAATTCAGTGGAGCACAAGTATGTACTATCATAGTTATCACTTTAAAAGCTGCACCAGATACACATTTTCATATATTACTTACCAATTAGCATTGCTGTACTATAAATCCTGCTATTATTTTCTAAGATTCCATGGAATGTCAACTGACAGGCAGCAACTGTTTTGTAATCTGTGCCACAGGCATGGTGAACCTCGAGAGTTACAGTACTTGTCTGTAGGTACTGCAAAAAGAAGTCATCAATCCTCAAAAGATACTGAGAAGTGAAGCCATAGGATGGATTAAGACCACGCACTACTGGAGTTGCATGTAGTTCAAAATCATAGAATGCATAGGTACAGAAAGTTGCAGGTTCTTGATCACCAAACGCCTGCACAGCTTCAGTAGAAAAAATCACTTTACAAATGTGAATTTCAAATAGGTTCTCTCCTCTTTCTAAGTGGACAGTTTCATCAAATTCATCTACTGGATCATCTGACAAGATTTCTGATCTGAACTTGTACTGTTTGGTACCATAGGCAATATCCTTTAGTTGGGCTACAACAGAACATATGAAAATAGAGTTAAGTGTAAATTTTATTTTCAGCATTGACAAATGGTTGCAATATACCTTGACTAATGACTGCATACAGACAAAGAGATAATTTATCATCTTAACACAACTGCAATTTTTTTTAAATCAGTGCTCTTGCTCTGTAAAACTGCCTTGTGGAATCATGATTCATGTATTTCAGTTATTTGGTTATAGATATATATAAAATAAACTGTAAACAAGGAGGTTTAATGGATTAATAATAGATTGCAAGAGAGCAATGAGAAGGAAAGTTAAAAAAACTTTTTAAAAGAGGGAGCACTAGACTAAAAACATAGCAGATGTACATTGAATGCAAGATACCTATTTTTGCAGAGCTGATGTATAGAATTAAATAAAGAAAATAAAAACAAGAAAAAGTAAAGAAAATAACTAAGAAAAGCAAGATTACTTGCTAGGGTAGGAGAAGAGAAGAAAAAAATGAAAAGCAGGTGTATATCTGAGTGATAATCTTTCAGTAGATGGAATGAAGTTTTATAATATATATTAGAGATTGAGATGAAATTGAATATTATTACATCAGAACTTGTTAAGAATTCCTTCTCAGTTCCCATTTGCAATATTAGATTTTAAATGAAAGGAAAATAAATATGAACTGGTTCAATTTAGCAGAAAATTATGAATTATTATAAACATTCATTTTGAAAAAGGAGAGATTAACATGTAGAGGAATACAGGTTTCCTTTATTTTATGCTGTACATGTGTTCCTGGAAAAAGGCGCATAAGTCAAATTCGCATAAAGAGAACCCACTTTACAATGTAACAAATAGGAATATGCTCTAAGACCTTGACTGCACAGACCCCAGACCCATTTCTACCACTTCTACAAGACAATTTTGGTACCCAACAACAGCAAACAGTACACGCACGCACAGGGTGGTCATGAATGTTACCATAATGGGGATGGCAACTAAAGAAACACGTGCCACAGACAATGAGTGAGGAGCATAGATTCACAGAGGAGACTTTATTTTGGTCTGTGTCATTCCCATAATGCAATACACAAAGCAGCTGACTGTGGGTTTCCACCACACCAATCGCGTAAGAGTGAATTTACCTCACGTATAACGAATTTTTGGTATAAAAAGGATCATTACATAAGAGCAAATTCGCACATACAGAACTCGCATAAAGTGAGGGAAACCTGTAATAGTTATTCCAAACCTAAATTTGTAAACATAAAGATAAACAAAGAGGGCAAAATTTCATATTTATGTTACGATGACAGGCTTTGTGTATTAGTGCTTTTATTTAGATCAAGTCAGATGTTTAAATTACTTACTTATAGTTATTTCTGTTATTTTACACCTCTCTGATGAAGCTAACATACATTTGAAAATTGGTCTTTGAGATACAGGTGGTGTTGCCAAAGTCTGCAACATAATATTGGATTTTTTGTAGTAAATATAAATAAATAATGCAGCTGTCGTTTTTTCTAACAGAATTGGAAGGGGTGTGGGTTTGTTTTTTTTTCAAATTGGCCTACTGTTTTCAGTAGTACTCTTCATGGACTGGGATGATTAAAACTCATTGTTATTTATTAACATGCTATGGTATGTTAGCGGTATGCTAAGGAGTGATTTATGTGTTTTGATTTAGAGCAGGGCCATTCAAATTCTGTGTGGCTATGGGTTTGACCACCAGGACTGCATGCCATACTGGTCACACATGCATGAACCACTGGCCCCAGTAGGCCTCATATTGCACTGGTGTTCTTCCCTCTGCTGCACTGTATTTGAATGTCCCCTACTGCACCATGTGTGGGTGCCCCAGCTTCACTACACTGCACAGGTGACCTGAGCCAAATGCTTCTCCATGCCATACTGGCCCCTGAGGGCAGAGTCAGGAAGTGGAAGCCACTGAAGGGAGAGGCAGGACAGAGACCCCAGCTATTGCTGCAATTGGAGCAATGGGGGGGGAGGGGGGGAGCAGCAGCTGGTAGGAACTCAGTGGCTGCCATTTGGGCAGCCCCATTTTAGAGGATGATTTCATGATAATAGATATTGAATATAAAAATATTATCCATTTGTAATTTGTGCATTACAAAATATTTTGGGTTACTGTTGTTATTTTGAGCTATTTAAACTTTGTAAATCTACTGATTTACTGGGTTTTATTTGACTGTGTATATCTATGTTTAAAGTCAACAGGGTAAAGAAGTGAACCCAATTAAAGGTGTGATCTTAATACTAATTTAAGTAACAGAAATATCAGTATGATAATTGTTAGCATAATATCAACAGTTTTAAAATGTATGACTGCTCCTAATTACTTCTGGTAAATTATCTACATAAAAAACTGAATAAAAATCTAGGTTTAAAAAATACCCTCTAATTTTTGGATCCGTGCAGCCCTGATATCAAGGAGATGGACATACTGTTTCAGTTTTGAATCATAATCTTGTTGTAGACCTTCCATCTTCTGGGTCACTGCTTCAACTTCAGCCTGAAAAAATATTTGGTAAGAAAAAAAGTGGTATAAACAACTTATCACCCTTTCAGAATTGCCACAACTTCTTTTTCATATAGGGACAGAATAATAGCTAACAAAATGAAATGTAAATTCACCAATGAATAAATACTGAGGCTATGCAAAAACAAACAATTTTCTAATTATTCAGTTCAAATTCTGATAAGAAACAGGCTCATTTATTAACAATAATGAGCTAGTTATTCTTTACAGTTAGGGTGCAGACAAAAGTGACAGTTTCTACTGAATCTAGTCACAGAAAGCAGTTAATAGCTGTGACCAAACAAGTGTATAGCCCAGTCAGCTTAAAAAATGGCCGGCTGAGTGAAAATCTGAACGCTCATTGCATGAGGGATCAGATGAAGACATTTCAAAACAAAGTGCGTTCTGTAACTGCTGTCTGCACGGCCTCCAAATTTCAAGCTGTTTTCAGAATGGGAGGTGGAAAGGGAGCGCAGGGAGTGCAGTCTGGGGATTTTTAAGCCCCTGCTGGAGGGTGAGGCAGGTGTATTGGAGGCCTCCCTGTGTGACAACATGGGAGGCCTCTAATTCACCCACTTCATTTTCCAGCACCAGCTGGGGAACCCCTAAAATGAGCTTCCTCTGCTTCCTTTCACTGTTCCCATTCTGAAAACTTTGCAGTCTCACAGGGAGGAGGGGCTGTTGCTATGTAAAACCAGCTACACTGCAGGCTCACAGCCAGCAGCTACATTCCCTTCCCCCCAGAACCAACAGTGAATTTCTGTTTGGTCAGTGGAATTGTTGTAACTCAGAATGCTTTCTACAAAGCATTCTTAGTTTCAGCAGGAAGCTGCACTTTTGTATGCTCCCTTAATGTTGTTAAATGTTTTTTTCCCCCATTTCTTTGTGGTTTTCAGAATTAAATTAATTGAATGAAGAGCCAGTGTAATATCTATAGTCCCATCACAGAAATGAGTAAGTACAAGGTGGTATGAGTAGCACACTGACTTTACTTTGCCTACCCTGTGGATCTCTGAGGAGAGCTGAGAGATGTCTTTGAAAAGGCTTATGCTGTTGCCAGCCTTGGCTGTTTTCAAAGGGCCTAGGCTAAGCTGCATAGGTGTTGCTAAGTTGAAGGCCCAAAGCTATTTCTGAGTGACGGCAGCGTGAACCTTTGCAGATGTGACCGCTAACTTGGCCAGCAAGTAAAGGAAGCCATCAAACAATTAAACAAAGCACAAGGCCTAAAAAAAGATAAGGGAAATACATTAAATAATCCATACACACTGAGCACATCTACATGAGACACCTTACTGTCCAGTAAAGCATCAACACCTACATGTGTGGAGCATTTACTGCACAGTAGACTACTGTGCAGTTAGCTGGTACCTGCACAGTAGCATTTGTGTAGACACTGACCGAGAACAAATTTGCTCCTGGTCAGCCTAAGCAGCAGAGGACCACAGGGGACAGGGAGCAGTACCCAGGCACTGCTCTGCTCACAGTTTCCCCTAGGACCCAATCAGTGCTGGAACTGGGGGGCTCTCTGCCCCCTGTCCTAGCTCTCAGTATGGACTGGGAACCCAGCACCTGCCCACTCCCCAGAGCAGCTCTGTGGGGCACAGAGCTGGCTGCTCCAGGGGGCACATGGGGCCCGAGTCCCAGCCCCTATCTATCCCCTGGTGCAGCTCCATGCTAAGCTGGCAGGACTCTCCTGGCCCCATGTACCTTGGGACTGGCTCTGTTCCTCTTGCCAGCTCCCGGGCTAGCACCCAGGGGAGATGGGAGCTTCCCCTGGCTGCTGCAGGAGGGTAGAGCAGGACAGTAGTAGCCCTGTATGGGGGAAGGCTTACTGGACAGTATTTTACTGCACAGTAAGCCTAATGAGAATTAATAGCATATGGAGACACACCTACTATATCATAGCTTTACCTTAAAATAGTAGTAGTAATTGATGTAACCAAATGTATTAGATGTTATTCTACTATAATAGATACATTTTAGAGGTGCACTGATACATTGGTCCCATATCAGATTACCACAGATATAAGGAATATTGACTATCAGCAATCAGTTTTTATTGCCTGTGGCCGATAATGTGGCCAATAAATACCCTGTGTAAGCACAGCCGCAGCGGAGCATGCAAGCAGCTAGGAGTGCAGCCCAGCAGCGTGGAGAACAGCTGGGTCCAGCTGTTAAATCTGTTGCAAGGGAAGTAGCATGGAGGGGAGCAGATCGAGGCCCCAGCAGTGAGGGAGGGAGTGGGGCTGTGGCTGGGACAGGTGCTGCACAGCTAGGGCAGATCAGGGGACAGAGAAATTCACTATCTGATTATTTTCCATTGTGACCAGAGTTTGGCACCTGATAATCCCGGTTAATTTTATGCTGTATGATTAACATATTCCGTGTTTTTTCAAGTTCTTGCACTGTTTCCGCATGTGTTGCCTGAAGCTCCTGGAGAGAGCGTTCCAAGTCTCTATGGATGTCATCTTCTACTTTCTCTAAAAATGTTAAGTCTCCATCCTGCTGTTGCTTACGAGCCTATAACATAAATGTGATATTTTTTTAAATATTGGAGAACGTTTTGGCAGTGTAATTTCATGCATTTCTACAGAGTTAAAGTGCCAAGAGTAAGACATTATTTCACAGGAAATTCAGTCTCATTTTAGAATTTCACAGGATTGGCCCTATATTCTAACCCTACCCTGCCACCCTACCACAGAAAGAAATGTGAAAAACTTGGCACTTTTTAGGATTGCACCGTACACCATAATCTATTTCCCACCAGACACCTACAAAACGATTTTTAAACAAACAACTAAAAGAACTCAAATCTCAACTCATCCACTTATCACCACTGACAAATACCTACAGAACTTACCAGTAAGATATATGAGATAATCAATGTTCTTTCCAAAAACATTAATATTCTTTGAGATAACTAAAAAATTCTGCATAGCCATGGTATCAAAAAGTTTTTTATATATATATATATATATATATATACACACACACACACACACACACACATATATATACACATATATGTTCCAACCATAAGACACAACTGAGAGGAAGTAATGCAAAATAATTGAAGACTTTTGGCCAACATGAAAAGTTTCCATCAATCAATGGATCTAATTGGAAACTAAGGTGAAAAACAGAAACATAAAAAAATGTGTCATAATTTCAACAAACTATGAAATATAAATGGGATCCTATATCTTCATAGAGTTTTTATAAATTTGAATGGGACAGCATTCACATGGACCTCAACATGGCACTGCGGCTCTAAATCCCAATGACAATTTCTTAGAAGGCCAATCTACCCAGGCCTATGTAGGCCATACAAAATTAATGAAGACTGCTAGATACCAAGTATTTTTGCAAATCAATGATGTACATTCCAAAATACTAACTTAGTTATTGACTTTTAAAAATTGCCAGGAGTAAAGCTGTTGTTTCAAAGCAGAACGCACTGTAGCATAACAATACCTGAGCTAAATCTGGTAATGGTTAATATACCCTAACTCTATGCATAGATATGCTGTCACAACCAGGTTGTTTCTGGTACCCAAGCTAGCTCATTTTAAAGTGAGCATGCATGAATGGCATGTGCCTCTGGTGGCTGGGGGGGCATGGCTGTGCTGGTGGTGGCGGGTGTGCGGCGGCTGGAGCCCAGCGGCCGTGAGTGGGGAGCTCCCACAGACGCCATTGGCACTGCATGGGGCAGGGTGGGCTGCCACTGCAGGCTGGGGCTAGGGGTGTGCTGGACTCTTTCTGGTGGGGCCGGGCCAGGCTGCACTTGGGGCAGGAGGTGGCAGTGCTGGGAGGGGGCTACAGGGGTGGCTGCAGTCATCCCAAAATTCGTTGTAGCCCCCACCATAGCCCCTTCCCAGCACCACCACCCACCCAACCCCGAGCGCAGCTTGGCCCAGCCCCCACTGGGAAAAGCCCAGAGCAGCCCTGGCTACAGCCCGCAGCGGCAGCCTGCCCCATGCAGATCCAGGGCACATGGCCCCTGTGCCTTCCCAAGGTGCACACAGCAGCAGGAGCTGCCCCCCTGTTTCCTCCAGACAAGCTGAGGCTCTGTCCTGTGCTCCACCCCGGCTGGGTAGCCCCACTCCCTCCCTCACCACAGGGGCCTCTGACACACCCATGCCCCTTCTCTCCCTCCTCCCCTTCCCCCACAACAGACTTTACCAGCCCAACAATGGCCTCCAAGCTGCCAGGCTGCGCTCCTGGCCCCATGCACGCTGTGGCTGCACACATACCTGGGGCATTTATCAGCCTCAGGCAAAAAAAGCCAATTTCCGATACAGTCCATTTTCTTTATATTGGTGCTGATCCAATATTGACCCAATGTGTCGGTTCACCTGTACTGCTTTCTGCACCACAGCTAGGAGGTGGAAGGATGCAGAGGGCAGGGAATGGGAGAGAGAAGCAACAGAAGCATGGATGCAGCTTCCAGCACAGCTCTCCACTGGCTGGGGGCAGAGGAAGAAGCAATAGTGGCAAGGGCACAGCTGGAAGTGGCCTGGCTCTGACACAGATCTTTGCTTTTTAATCCCAGCACAGATATGGGTGTAGGCAAAACCCTCAGGTTAGATACAGTGGCACTGTAGGGAGGTTATGGCCCTTGGGCTGTAAGTTGCCAACCCACAATCTAAAATATTCATATTAATGAACATTTCCTGAGAGCTGACATATTCAGTTTAACATGGTATGTTGTATTAGTGTCTCACAATTTTAATTATGTCATTATTTATTGTAGATTTGATCTTGAGTTATTCTTTAATATTAATGTCATACAAGAGGATTCCTTGCCTGCCTTGAGGGCATACTCTTCTACAGGTTCTACACTGGTCTATTTTATCACTTCTTTTATTCATGATATACACATGGGGCCATTTAGGAGATTAGTGAATAGACAAGGGTTAGAATATGTTTTCAGATGTGGCTTGTTTGAGGAAGTGTTTCTTTATTGTGGCAGCTGAATTATATACTAGTTAAATGCTAAAGACCAGAACAGGTAAATTTTATTATTTTTTTATTTGATTTATAAAATTAATCATGAGGAATTTTCTTTGATGAAGAATACATTGGTTCCTGCTGTTCACAATACTTGCAAGATCGGAATCTTCTATGCTATCTCTATCACACATTTTTGGATTTTTAATAGTAGTAAAATAGTAGAACTTTTTCTGCTAATAAAATTCAAATAAGTGAAAAAAAGCCTTTAATTTTGGAATTATTTTGTCCTTATTTTTAGGAATCTAAGATATATCATACATCATAAAACTATGAATATTTTCCTTAAAAATAATAAAACAGCATTTACTTGAATGCAGGAGAGAAGAATATATTCATTTATTCTATTCTATAGTCATTTCTTTTATTTCACTTCTTTGCAAATCTTGTTGAATTACAAGTTATGTCCCAGAAAAAAAAAAAGGAGTTTTTCTGGTTCTTTCATAAATAAGGAAAGAGCAGTCACTAGTGAGAACATCTTTTTATTATGCTTTAAGAGCTTAATATTTTAGTTTGAAATATGCTTGCATACCTTTCAGAATTACTAAACAAGAAGTTGTTTTTGATCAGAACTATAATGGGAAAATGTGAAAAACAACACTAGAAAGCAACTCTTTTTACTGAAGTAAGTAAAAAGAAGCTTTATAGCAATTTTTTGTTGATCTGACTAAACTCACTTTTGATGTTGTAAGGAAATACGTACATATCCCAAATAAATTTCATGCTGCCAACTTTTCTTTTCCCTTCTACTTTTCTGTAGCTGAAAATGACATGTGCCCTTGTACAAGCCAAATGCATTATCTACTAAAAGATGCACAATTTAGATTCCTCTCAAAACCCAGGCCTTGTTCAGAGGATACAAAAGAGTCATAACATAAGAGTTAAAAAGTTGTACAGCAGATATGAAAATGTGATCAATGTTCGTAAGTTACCTTTGTAAGCATTAGGGCTTCACTGAGTTCTGACACATCGATATCATTCTCCTGAAACAGAAATAGTCAATAAAAGTGTGTAAGAAGATGTGAATGAATAATGGAGAGAGACATTCAGCATAACATGGTGCATTTCACTAAACATGACACTTTTTCTGGTATCATGAATAAATAATTTGTTATATTTCTATATTCTTCTGCTCTTAAGAGGAGTACTTGCACAATGCATAAAAAATATAAAGCTTTTTTGTTCATAAATAGGGATAAAAAGTTCACCTTGGTGAAAAACTTCATGCGATTTTTCAGTTCGTCTAGTTGTTCCTTATGCTCTAGATAACGCAAATGTAGTTCTTTGTTCTCTTGAGTCAATTTCTCATTTTGGTCTTTAAAAACAAACAAAACACATTACATTACATTTAATTTAATGTAACTCCAAAGATTATGACTGCTTTTTTAAATTAACTTCTGCATAATAAATGTATTTTTAAATATCCCCTCTAATTCCCTATCCATAGTGATTCATATTATTTTTGCTAGCTAAGGTGGTGGTGGTGATACAGCACCACTCTAACTGGTATAAAGATTTTAATGTATAAATTATTCAGTCTTTTTACCCTCATTAAAAATCAAATCATTGCATCAAAAACTTCATTCGCAAATAAAAGTATATTGCCAGAAAGAGAAACCTTGAACATAATTGTCAGACTAGAGGCATTTTCAATAATTTTCTTGTAAGATCCTTACTCATTTCGAATGGTAAAAACATTAAATCATCTAGCTTAACTTCAAAATTATCAACTAAGGTATAAATCAATAGCTGAAATAAATCAATTGTGAAAAATTAAGAGGAATTTTGCTTTAGTAGGATGAAGTAAATCTTCAGGATTAGCTCAACTGATTTTAAAGTGATTTGGTTATAATAATGCAACTCTTAATACAGACAAGTCATAAATGGTCTAAATTAAACCTAAATCTTTCCATAAATCAGGAGTTTTTAAGACATAGAAGTATGAGTCTATCATCCTTTATCATTTTATATGGCTTATCTGAATGAGGGTTTTTTTTTTAATTTCTCATCCTCCACTGATATATTCTCTTACCATTTGTTGTAAAAGAAATTAATTTTCTAGGTCACAGAGATGCAAATATACCTTTCAAATTCCCATCCGCTTAATGTAAGTCAATTGGGCAAAACACAACATGCCCTGTTGAGTATATCCTTCTCCTTACTATAAAATAGTCTATGATATTCTTTTAATGCTGGGATCTTTTCAGCTGACCCTCAGGGCATGTTGCACAGCTTATCTATTTTTACAGGTAGCTTTTTTTAATTTAGAATGCTGAGCATGGCAGGGAATAGGTAGTTAAGATTCTAGTCTTGAAGGATTGGACATGTTTTAAGAATTGGTGTTAGTCTAATTTTAATTTTGCTCCTGGTTTCAGATGAACCTGGCTGAATGTAGCATCAGACTTAACTGATTTGGGTCAAACCAATTTATGAAACCTCTGTCCCAGATCCCTTCCTGGTTCAAGTTAAATCAGAGTCCCCCAGCATCCTAGCATTTTGCAGCCATGGACTGGGCTGTGCTGTCTGCTCCAGACAGCAGGGCTGGACCCACCCCCTGCTTCCTAGCTGGAGCAGTGAGGCCTGGCTCTCTGGCCCTCTCAGGCAAACCTCTGCTAGGGTCTGGGGCCAGGGAAGGGACTTAAATTTCCCAAGTATGGAGCTGCCCTGCCCTACTAAGTGCTGGCTGTGACTGCACTACAAATCCCAGATGCACCTGGAAGCAGGAAGAGGAAGTTATGTGCAATCCTGCAGAGTCCTGCTGCTGTGATTGTGGACTGCAAATCCCAGAGACCTTGGGGGCAGCAGGAAGAAGCAGCAAACACTGCCCCCCCAATGCTGGCTACAAACCAGAGAGCCGTGCTTTAGCGCCTCTTGGCTGCTGGCTTGAGCCACTGCAGAAATATGGCTACATTTCCTGAATCAAAAGTGAAGGTCTGTGCATTTACTTATTGGCTAGCTTAGACTAACCTGCAAAGACTGAATCAGTTCAGCCTCCGACTTTTTGACTGTCTGTACTTAACTTAAATGATCTTGCTTTTTCTGGTTCAGGCTTGGGCTTGGTTTTGGAACAAATTTGCTAAAATTTCAAGAAGAGCATTAAGTGGTTTTAAATATTTACTAAGAAGCTCAAAAAATGTCTTGTACCACAGGAAAAGGGATAAATTGGATCATATGATTGGAAACCAAATAGTATAAACATTGGAAATAACTGTTAGTTAGCTGTTAATTAAGATTAGTATTTACTAACCATAGATAGCTAAATGTAGAACAAGCTGTATAGGAATCACCTGAACCTTGGTATAGTATATAGCAAGTAACAGAGATGAGTAAAGAAGAGGGACCATGGAGGAAATGCCCATGAAGAGAAAAATAAATTTAGGCCTGAATTGAAAGACTAATGGAAATGTAAAATTCTAATGACTACAGCCCCCTACCCAGCCGGCATTTAAGCATATACCTAACTTTATTTGGACTATGTATCCACTTCAGGTTAGACATGCTTGAAGTACACTGATCAATCAGGGTTTTACAGTGGAATCCTGGAGTCACCACTTATAGGCTGAGCTCTTCTGTGGTATGTATCATGTAACTGGGCATTAAGAAAAAGAATGGTCTTTTATAGATACCTCTTTCTACTTTAATTCTGTCAAGAATTTCATTCTTGTCCGCTAAATCAGACTTTAAAGCTGTCTCAAGCTGAGTAATCTGCAGTTTCAGTTGCTGTTCCTTTAATTTCCACTGCTGTTCATGGGTCACACTGAAGACACTGCAATAAAATATGTGGCATGTGAAGAACTTTTAGAAATCAACTTCAACAGAAAATAATAAAGAGAAAAGCTTTTAGTGGCATAAAGACCACTGTCATCATGTCTTAGGAATTAAGTAAACATATGTTGGTCTGCTGCTGTTGAAACCAAGGCGCCTTTCTCAGGCTGTGGTTAAAGAACATGAAAGGGTTTGTGGGATAAGCAGAAGAACTGGCCTTAATTTAGAGCTCCAAAGTCAGAAAAGCTGGCATCATGCAGCATTTGTGGGACTAGAAAAGGAATTCAGATGCATATTCCAGAGGAATCCACAGCTCCAAACCTCAGTAACAGACAACTGACAAAACCATTCTTTCCGCATACAAAACCTCTTAACGTAGAGAACTGAGATTACTCACCTGATCTCTCAGTCTGAAACATGGAGAGCCTAAAATCAGTTGTCTGTTCAGAGACGCACTAACTACAAACTGACAACAGTTCTCATACTGTAAAATGACAATTCTGATACTGACTGCAAAACATATACAAAAGTAGCCTTTGTCCTGCTTTAAAAAAAAATAGGCTAGTGGATTAAAATAATTATGTGTGTTGTAACACGTAATTTGATTCTAAACCAAAAAGTTGTATGTAGCGAGCATGGCCTGAATATAGAAGTAGAAATAGTGAAAACATAGCAAAAAGAATGACTCAGTTAAATGTAAAAGTAAATATATGAAATGGTTTGCATTTATAGAATATTATATGGACAGATATCTACTAGAATAGAATACAAAATGTTTTTATGTAGTTTCCAAGTTAAATAGCATTTTATGTTCTTTGCCACATTATCCAAGAGCTGTATTCTCAATGCCTATAAAATTGTTTTAGCCAATTATAAACTAGCATATTCAAAGTATAAACAGTTAAAATATTCAACATTTTTGAACAATCTGAAATGTTACTTTAGTTATTGAGACTACTTCTCATCAAACCAAGTGGGTCCAATTTCAATTAGAATAAATATATTTTATTCTATTTTAAAACTGTATGTAACAAAACCACAGATGATCTTGCCTTGAGCAAGGGGTTGAACTATATGACTTTCAGAAGCCCCTTCCAGCCCTGCTTTTCTATAATTCTATTATTAGAACAAAAATGCTCAAAAAAACCCATAACAAAATGAAAAAACCCCAAACAGGAGACGGTGAGAATGCACACACCAGCAGATTTTCATACACAAAATGAAATGGGAACTGGCTATATAAATGAATCAGCGGCAACAGTTCAAAGGTATTTATGTTAATAAATTGGCGTTAAAATGAAATGAAAAAAATATAACATGAAACCTTGAACATTTTTGACCAAAATAAAATGACTGTAAAATATAAAGGAGAGCACTTATTTTCCCAGAAAACAGCAAGTAAAAAGTTAAATGTTAATAATTTTGTTACTTTTAATAGCTCTGTACATATCCTATGCAGAAGTGAACATGGGAATCATCGTTTGGTTAGGAGCTGGGGCAGTGGACTGGGAATTAGAAGACTGAGTTCTCTTTGTGTTTTTGCTGTTGCCCTGCTATGGGACTTTGAGCAAATATCTTACACTTCTCTATGCTTCTGTCTCTTTCCCATAATATGTCTGTTTTACCTAGTTAGATGGTAAGAACTTCAGGTTAATGACTGTTTGACTCTGTGTTCGTATAGTTCCTTTTACAGTACAGCCTTGAACTTGGTTGGTGACTCCAGTTGTTATTATAATACAACAAAAACAAAAGTAAATTTCTCCTTTCTCTAATGGATTTTGGAAATCTTTTCATGAATCCATAAGCATTCCACTGTAGTACACAGATACAGAATAAGTACCATCAATTTTCAGAACATTATAGACTTAAAACTGCAAGTTTTTACTGACTACTATAACAAGACAAGTATTTGGATTTAAATTGCAACTAATTATATTTTAAATAAAAGAAACAATATATCCTTAGTATTCACACTTTTCATGGAAAAAAAAAAAAGAAAACTTGTAAATATGTTGCTGTCAAATTTTATATCTCCATGTAACCTTCTGTGTCTTTCCCCTGAGCGTTGAACTTGTGGGTTCTTCTCGAACCTCATCATGGCTCCTTGGGCGGAACAGCTTGGTTATTGGGGTGACTTTGGGTTGGCCCAAGGGCCTCACCTGCCACCTCTTTGATGATGGTTATGTTTGCATCGGGAGAATGATGTTTGGTCCTGCCTCCCCTGGTGCCTTCCCTTGGTCATTCCCGTTGTTCCTTCTTTGCTGGGCTCTGCCTCCCTTACACCCCGCCTAATGCTAACTGCGATGTTGTCACCTGTGTTATCGAGGTTGATGTTCTGAACTTTCCTGGCACTCGGTCCCTCGGGGTCTTCGGCCGCAGGCTAGTGGTGATGCTTCTTTGCTGAGTGTCTCTTACGGCCCCCCTTCTCTCTGCCTACACGGTGTCTGGCCTCAGCACCATTCCGTGCCCCGGCGCGTTGACTCTCCCTGGGTTTCATAGATTTCATACACAATAGGGCCAGAAGAGACCTCAGAAGATCAAGTCCAGCCCCCCGCCCAAAGGGCA